GTGGGGATGGAGATAGAGATGGAGATGGGGAGGGGATGGAGATGGAGATGGAGATGGGGGTGGGGATGGAGATAGAGATGGAGATGGGGATGGGGATGGAGGTGGGGATGGAGATGGAGATGGGGATGGGGAAGGGGATGGGGATATACACAAAGATGAAAACTTTGTTCAGTTTACTTTTAGAACTGTCATATTTTCACATACTAAACTAGAACACTCAGAATAAAACAAATAATGCAATAGAGTTAACAAGGATGGGAATAACATAAAATGAAATACAAACATAAATGAGTGAAACAAATCATAGATAACCATTTATAGCATAACTACACTGAAGGAGGGACAAAGAACTAGTCTGTGACTATTTTTACACTATGTGTACTAAATGATCTACCTGAAGTCAAGAAAGAAAAGGAGGAGGGAGGGAGGGAGGGATGGAGGAAGGAAGGAAGGAAGGAAAAGAAAACCCCAAAACTTTAAGGAAATGTTAGCTCTATCAGTAGGCTTCCTCTCTGTCTTTCTCCTCCACCCCCCACCTCAAGTTATGGGTTAGTGATTCTGATACCACTTTTTGCAAATTCCAAGACTGAAAATAGAAGTACATGCTTTTTAGGAAATGAGGACCAGGCTCCTTGCTGTTGGAAAGGGAGTTACAATTATGGAAAGAAGATGGTTATAATTTATCCCATGGCATTGCAATGGGATTAGTGAGGTCATTCTTTCTAAGACATTCCAGTAGTACTGAGCACACCTAATTCCAAGTACTGATACCCAAGTACTATTTTTTCCTAAAAGGAACCAGATATTCTTGTAGAAATGGTGATTCCAAAGCTGCAGCAGAGAAAGTATGAGTTTGGAATCTCGTATTGTGCCAAAAGGTAAGAAAATGCTAAAGAATAGACACATATTAACATATTAAAAGGGCATAGCTTGAAATGACTCCCACTGGTCAAATCTAGAAAAAATTAAACATGAAATTAAATAATGACAGGAAAGGGTTATAACACAGTGAATTAAGTAAAAATTCAAAAATCCACAATGATATTAATAAATAAATAAATTGTGTGTGTGCGTGAGAAAGAGAGAGCTAGAGAGAATGAGATTAGGGCACATGTGAAAATGAAAATGTAGAATGTTACCCTTTGGAGATTTGGTTTTGGAAGATGCTCAGCTATGTTTTCTTTTAAAATCTACTTTTTCATCTTTGATATTTGATCTGAAATCTGACTGCAATTGGTTTTTGTGTAGTGTGAAATGAAGGTCAAGATTTAATTTATTCATATGGGTATCTAATTGACTCAGCTCTATAAAAAGGACCATCCTTTCTGTACCTGACTTGTCCTCTGTCCTGTTATGTAACTGTCCATCTGCCTTTGCCCCAATATCACGTTCTCTTCAGACCCAGTAGGAAAGGCCCTCTAGCTTTGTTCTTTTTCAACATAGTCTTGACTCTTTTTGATGCTTTTCTTTCCATTTAAATCAGAGAATTAGCTTGCCAATTCACACACATGCACACACACACAAACACACACCCACCCACCCCTCTGAGTTCATTTACAGATTTTTAATCTTTCATTTTACGAATTTCAGACTAACAGACACATTGCAACCATAGTGTGAAGACTGCCCACTCACGCCTTGTCCCTCTGACGAATGGTGGGCATGCTGGGTGTGTCAGCCCTCTGGAGCATCAGCCTGGTTTGCTCAGGCCAAGCACGTCCTTGAAGTCCATGACTGCCCCCAGGTAGAGGGAAGGGAGGTGTCTGGGGCAGGCACAGAGCATCTGGGGGCCCTGAGGGTCGCCTGCTACAGCCCACCCCTTGCACTGCACTGATCCCCTGTGACCACATCGGCTCCTTTCTGTCTTGTATTGATTCTTCAGGGTGGTGGCTGGTAGTGTCCCCAGTGGGCCAAGCCCTCCACCCTACTGTTGGCTCTGAGGTCTTAAATAGCACATACCAGCTCCCCTCGTACCACCCACTGTGGGCACCCTTCTGCCTTGGGGCGCTGCTGCTGGGTGAGCTGTCCACCTTGAAGCGTCTTGAATATGGCTTTCCTGAGGCTCTGACCTCGTCCTCTCCCCTGCCAGGCTGTGGTTGCTGTGACTGCCATGTCCTGGGTGAGTCAGTGCCAGAGAAGACCAGAGAATTCTCTGGGTGCAGGCTGTGCTCTCCACCCCACTTGCATAGAGGCAGCACAGCTCAGCATGTCAGACACAATCCTCTGCAGCTGTGAACAAGGAACTCTCTCCTTTGTCCCCTGGTTCACTGGTGTGAGGTGCCCAGGTGGCCCGTCGTCTGTGGCTCTGGGTTACTGTTGCTCCCAGGGGCTCTAACCTTCTGACTCCATGTTGTGCAGACAGGAAGCAGAGGTTCTACAAGTGGATCTTGGGGTAATATCCAGAAGGATCAGTGATGCTGCATATGCAGTAACATCTTTCACAGTGGGAATGAGTCACAGGGGCTACAGGGCAGGCATTGGGGGTCAGAAGGTAGAAGGGGGCTCATGCTCTCTGGACAAGCCACCTGGTCTTGCAGCTTTCTGGGGTTTCTCTCTGGTGGACACCCTGTTCGTCACTGACAGGAGGCCACAGATACACTGGCGCCCCCATGTCTCACCCCCACGTCTTGTCCATAGATGGTCTCCAGTTTCCAGTCTTGCTCCTTCCCAGACCCTGACCGTCAGAGCCATTCACCCCTGCCCAAGAGGCCTCCTCCACTCCTACATCACGTTAATGGCCGAGGGTCCTGCTCAGAGCCATGTGGCCAGAAACGTCTCCTTACTCCCCCACCCCACAGCATCCCGATTTTGTCTCGATCCCTGAGTGTAACAGACATTCTACAGCCAAATGGATCCCATAGATCAAACTTTGTTCCTTTAAAGGTGATTCTGTGTCCAGGACCCGTGCCCAGAGTAGCGTATAAATGTGGTACCTAAAGCGTTTGAGCTAAGGGGAGTATTTTTAAGTTGGGGATACATTTGAAACATGAATCCAAGACATTTCAAAACCTTTCCACTTTACAAAGAAGTAAAAAAAATCAATACGCCATGCAAGTTCTTTAGCCTCAAGTGTAAGTAACCAATTTTCTAATTTCAGATGTTCTATCAACATGAGACAGCTTTTCCATTTAATATGTGGAGGACCATTTTCACATCTGTGGCACTCTGTAGGCTAATATTTCCAAAGTGTGATCTCCGTATGATATATATGATTTTAAACATAATCCGATTTGACCAGCGATGTGATCACATAATTTTGGACTCCCTCTCCAAGCCAGGGTGTGCAGGCCCAGCCCGCTTCCCCAGGCAGCACCCCCCTCAGAGCACCATTCCCTTTACCTGTTTGACCAGGGACTGCTTCATGTCCCTCGTCTCAGAGGGACATTTCAGAAACTATGTCCTGTCAAGAAGATACGTCTTAAGTGAACTTCATGGGGCAGGATTCAAAGCCGTTAGAAATGATAATGAGGCTGATGTCATATTGAACAAAAAATATTAGTGAGTCCAGGATAACAGAATATTGGGGGGTGAGACAGTGTGATGTGTGGGTTTCCTCAGCAGTAATCCGGGCAGGGGTGAGCGGGTGGGGCACCTGGTGACCTGAGGCCGATCTCGAGCTGGTGGCTGGTGGTGGGCACCTGGGGCTTGTTATCGGTGATCTGCCCTTGTGGGGGGAGGGGTGTCTGTCCCTGCCCCAGACGAAGACATTAGAAGTAAGAAACAGGAAGTGAAGAAAAGAAAGCAAACCAGCAAATCATTGATCTTAATCATTCAGATGAACAGTATCATATCTTATCATCATAGATGTTTTTTTACCCTCTTGGGTGTGATTTCCTCCCCCTGACCCCTGGCCTGGCTTGTGTAGCATCTCCCCGAACATACACATTCTGAGCAACAGGAAAGCCCATCTTGTGGACGGAAATCACATGCAATTCACCATTCGTCCTGGTCTGCGTCGCAGTTGCAGCGATGCTGGGAGTCAACGCAGTTCCCCGCTAGTCCACAAGCACACGTCTGGGCCTCAGGCATGGAGCCCGCCCAGTAAGTGCGTGTCCCATGGGTGCTTCCAACCCACCAACTCAGAGGCGTTCCATCTGAAAGACAGGTTTGAGAAAGTGACTGCTGCTTGGCCCCCGAGCCCTGCCTCCCTGAGACGACTCCCTTCCCTCCAAGACCATTACTAAGAAACCGGCAGCCAAGAACAAGTCTGCTCCAGAAAGGAACCTGTTCTTAGCGCTGTAACAGGATGGTCCTGCTGGGACAATTCTAACCCAGCTTGGGTCTGTCCGACGACATCAGACTGATTGCACTGAAAATAAACAGAAGTACCCAAGTCTCTCCATCGTGGCATTAATAATTTTTAATCAGCCAAATTACATGATTTCTTTGAGAACTAGATTAAAAGGTGAGCTATCCTGAGGGTTAAAACACTGGCAGCTACACTAGAAGTGACACCTGCTGTGGACCTGAATGCCTGTTGGATGGAAACAACCCGGCACAGACGGGTAGGTGTCCAGAAGTGGGCTCTTTCTCTCTCCTCTCCTCTCCAAGGCTCAGGCTGCGGACTCCCCTCTGAGTCCGGGCTGTGGGCTCCTGTGGGCACTGTGTGGGGCTGGTCCCTGCCGAGGCTTGTCTGCATCACTGTGTTGAACAGCCAGTCACACCTCCACGGGTGAACCCTCTTCCCCGGGCTGAGCGCATCTTCTGTTCTGAAAGCCTAAGCAGCGACCCCCCCCACGGGACCAGAGCCCATGGCCACCATGTTATGACTCGGGCCAGCGGAGGAGACGGACCACATCTCCACGAACCCCAGCAGCCCCAATCCCCGGGAGGGAGTGATGAGTGAGGACACCTGGGAGGCGCACCCATGGGGCTGATGGGAGGCGGTGCTGTGTGGACATTCCTCCGTGCCAGTGAGTGGCTGCATGGCCACCAAGAGACTCTGAGCACCCAGGGTGTGGCAGTGCCATGGTCTGTCCCGCTCCCTGACAGATTTGGATCTCCACCTGGGACCGACAGCCGCTCCCAAGAAAATGTGTGGCCACTGCCACCTCCCTGTGCGGCCAGAACAGAGATGTGCAAGAACGCATCTAAGATGAATTACTTCCAAATTAAGCTGATAGCTCATTGCTGGGAGGCTAATGGCATTTAAAATATTTAATAGATATTTTGATAACACTTTTAAAATTTTAATTATTTCACCATTGTGCTTTCAAACCAGGGAGAAATGACATCACCGGGCTGCATCTTCTAAGTGGGTTTTCTATATCTCTTCTCTCTCCCACCAACAGTGACTCTCCAAAGGTTGTCAGAACACCAAGGGCCTCTGGTTGCAAGTTGCAAGTTGGTAAGTACTGTAGAGACTGGGGGAGACAGAGGGTTCTGCCTGGGAGAGCCTGACCCTCCAGTGGGAGCCCTTGGCCATCCTTCCCTTCAACCTGCAACTGCTCCTTCTCAGGAGAACTAGCTTTAATCTGAGGCTATATACACTTTCCTGCCATTTCCTCATGGGTGAAAAGAGGATTGATTTGCAAAATTCAAATATGAGCTTGTGTCATAAATGCTGTGTAGTCTCCACTCCCTGCATCCACACTAGGAAACTGGGAGCTGAGGAGCCAGTGTGGGGTTTGGTCCTGGGACCCTGAAGGGGATGTGCAGAGGGCCTAAGAGCATCCCAAGTAGGAGCATGCATGGTGGAAGCCATGTCCAGAAAGACATATGTCTTCATAAGGAGTGAAGCAGTAGATGGTTTGAAAAATCAAGGCCGGGGCAGGAGAAGAGCAGTGAGGACCGGGAAGACACAAGAAACAGCACCTCAGTGAGGTAATCAGAAGGAAGAAAGGCACAGCCCAAAGCAGCACTGAGAGGCAGTCTGGGTACGAGGGAGAAAGGGAAACATCTTCCTCTGGATCAAGCCAGACCTGCACTCCATGCTGCCTCCACCTATGCCTCAGCAAGGGAGGTGGGCTGGCAGGGACTGGCAGGGGTTGGCAGAGGTCGCTGCCAACGACCTTGTGGGCACCTACCTTGTGGGTCCCGGAGCCGAGACCTCCTGCAATGGAACTCCAGCATCTGCTGGCAGTGCCTGGCACGGGCGATGACGGCCCGCAGCTGCTCCAGGCTGGCCTCGTACTGGAACACTGCCCAGTGGGGGTTGTTCTGGTCTGCGCCCTTGACCCTGGTGAGGGCTGAGCTGTTGTGCTGCACGACGGTCCACGGGACGTCTCACGAGTGGAGCAAGAGAGAAAGGAGAGGAGCGTCACTGAGCGGGACACTCAGCACTGCCGGTGGCCTTCTAGTGGGCCGATGCAGAGGCAACACAAATGGGACTCTGACCCTTAAATCATAGGAGAGAGTGTTCTTCCTGTGATGATGTGTGTCATTTATGTCTGAGCTGATCCTGTAGTGAAAGTGGGTGTTTCTGGATTTTTAGCCAGACAACATTCATGGGAGAGAAAAGACATATAACTGCGTTATTAAATTTCTCCAATATCTAAAGTAATGCAAGGCAAACAATGACTTTTCTACTAGAACAATACTCTTTTCTTCACTGGAGAATGAGCCCAACATCGTCAGCAGCCCGTGCTCCTCTCATGTGCTCTGACCTGAGGTCTCTCTGCAGGTCACTGGGGCATCACACGCCTGCTCCATTCAGACCTGAGAGGAATGCAGAAGTGGCATTCCTGGACCCACACCTGACCCTGCTCTGTAGGACGAGATGCCCTGGCCTTGAGAGTGCCATGAGCCCTGGCCACTTCTGTCTACCTGGGACACCTCTATCTTCCTGGGACACATCTGCCTACCTGGGGCACCTCTGTCTACCTGGGACACCTCTGTCTTCCTGGGACACATCTCTACCTGGGACACCTCTGTCTACCTGAGACATCTCAGTCTACCTGGGACACCTCTGTTTATCTGGGACACCTCTGTCTACTTGGGTCACATCTGTCTACCTGGGACACCTCTGTCTACCTGGGACACCTCTGTCTACCTGGGTCACATCTGTCTACCTGGGACACCTCTGTCTTCCTGTGGCACATCTGTCTACCTGGGGCACCTCTGTCTACGAGGCCCAGTGGATGGAATATGAATCTTGCATGCTGAATGCTGGTGCACAAGGGGACATCGATTCTTCTAATGCCCATTGCTGGGACTCTCTCTGTGTGGTCCAGTCACTCAGCATCATCTGTGAGAAGGAATTGGTTAAATTGTCCCTTTTTTGTTGGCATATGTCCAATTAAGGGGCCTGGAAAGCAGCCATATGGACCTGGTTTTGTTGGTTTGCTACTTTGTGTGGCCCCTGTCGATCCTGTGTGTCTGGAATTCCTGCCCGAGCCACATCCACGACCCGTGGCTGTCAGTGTGCATCGGACGAGGACTTCAGGCCGTGGAACAGCTTGACCAGGGAGTCCTATGTGAGCCGCCAGCTGTGTGGCCCGTGGGGGCACATCCCAGAGCTGGAGCGGCTCATTTCTTCAGGACTTTTGCTGCTCTGAAGCTGCAGGAGCCCACGAGTGAGTGGGCTGAGGGTGTGGGTCACCTGCCATGGGCCTCCCCATTCTGGGGACAGACCTGGGGTCGCTGGGGATGGCTCACACTAGAGTCCACATGCTACAGTGGATCCTGAAGCCCGTGTGATGTGGAATTGTGGGCTGCCCTCTGGACACGGCTGGGGAACAGAGGGGCACATTGGTTCCATGCGGGGCTGGATTCATCTGGACTGAAACCCAACATTCACTCTACCATGAGACGCTCCAGTTTCTGACTCGCATGCTTCCTCTGACCAGGCGACACATCAGAGCACAGATGGTAGAGTTCACACAGCAGGTGAATCCAAACCAAACCAGACTGGAGCACGGCACAGCTGCTGGGCAGGGCCTGCATCCCCAGGAGGAAACTGAGAAACATAGACGTTTCCAATGTGGAAATCGGCCTCAGAGACCCGAGGGCATCACGTGGTCCTCATAGGTACCGAGAAGACATCCCATCTGCACTGAACGTCCTCATGGATGGGAGGCAGCAGCCCGTGCCTCCTTTGTGGTGACGAGCCAGCGGTGCCCAGGAGATGAGGAGCCCACGGCCCATGGCCCCCACCCGTGTTCTGTCCTGGGTGGGTCACACAGGCCTCCGTCACTCACCAGGTGTGTTGGAGACATGTTCCTCTGCTGACACTGCTGGGCACACATGCTGGGGGAACAGGGGGCTTCTGCTCCTGCCCCGGCTACCCCCCAGCTGTTGCCCGCGAGGAGTCCCAGGGATGCAGCTTCTCTCTGCTGTCTTCCTGGTCCTCCCTCCCAAATAGTCCGATTCCCATTACGATTTTGGCAGATTTTGTGAGCACCACAAACACGTCAGTTTTCTTTCCCCTGAATGAAACATGAGCCTTTGGCCCCTGACCCTGTTCTCAGAGATGAGGGACACGGTAACATTGCTGCCCCTGGGAAGGCAGACACCCAGAGCCCAGGAGAGGGGGTCCTGGTGCAGCATCTCCCAAGACCACTCCCAGGGCTTTCAAGGCTCCACCCGCCCCAAGGACGACCCTGGACGTCCTCAGAGCCATGACAACTCTCAGCCCAAACATGGACTTTGGGTCCCCGCCTCCTGCTGCACTGTTCCCAGCACAGAGGGGACACATGACTCCCAGGGCCAAGGAGGAGGGGGTAGGTCTGGGGCCCTGCCTCAGTGGCCGCTCTGAGTCTCAAGCACACACACACACACACGCCTGCACACACATATGACATGCCTGCACACACACATGAGGATGCATCCCCACTCTCCTGGGGTTGAAGCCCTGTCGTCCTTCACACGCCATTGTGTCACCCACAGTCTGGTGTTGGGCCCCCAGGAGCAAGTGCTGGGCTGATGAGCTGGGACCAGGCCTCCCCCGAGGCAGCATGTTGTCACCCACTCAGAACGGCTCTGGCACAGGGTGCGTGGTCTGCCCAGAACGCTAGGGGCAGCAGGGACCGCATGGCCACGCACTGCCTCAGGCAGAAGACACCCAGAGGAGCTGTTTGCCCCAAGCGCTAGGTGTCCCCAGACACCGACCTCAGACTTGCCCTCAGTGTTCGCCAGGCTGAGCAGTCTGTCAGGCATGGACCTGTGTTGACACCAGCACTGATGATCTGGGCATCTGTGGGAGGGCTTTTGTCCCACCTGCACACCATGCTGCATCCCAGCCGCTCCACACCCTCTGGAGGGAGATCTGCCTGGCTCACATTTGAGCAAGTATTTGCTTAAAGGCAGCAACAGCCAGATTTTGTCTTGAGAATTGAGGAGCCAGAAAATCAAAAATTTCATGGGAATGGTTTTAAACTATTTAAATAACATGAAAAAAAAATCTATCCAGAAATGGTTCTCTTCTTAGGGAATTTGCAACAGGGTGTGCTGTCTTCACCCACTGTCCAAATCAAGCATGAAGCCTGGAGGCTTCCAGCACCCGGGGCGATTCTCTGATACCCGGAGCTCAGAGCCTGAAGGAGGGGGTGGGGGACCGTGTCCTCCTGTAGAGCCGGTGGTGTTGCGGGAATGCGGGCTGGCCTCGGCTGCTCACACAGCCCCTCCCCTCCCGTGCCCATGTTTCCCTCATCCAGACACCAGCTTTGGCGCTGGGACCGCCGCTCAGCTGGACCACATCTGCGGAAACCTCATTTCCAAACCCAATCCCATTCGTAGGTTCCGGGGGGACGTGAAATCTGGGGGGACAGTGTCCAGCCTTGTGCACAGAATCTGGATTATCTGAAACTTAACAAGGTAGAACATTTAAAGAGGAGGCCGTCCCATATAGAGACGGGAGCTAATGTCCCACCGGAAGGCAGAGATGGCAGTGTGGAAGGTGTCCCTTCCGGGGGGCGAGGGCCTCAGGTTGGTGTGGGCCGAGGGGCGGAGGTGTGGACTCCAGTGTGGATGAGACACAGGGCTGTGGCCGCAGTCAGAGAAACAGATGCGGCCGTTAGAGAGCTAGGCCGCCCGCGTCTGAGAGGAAACCAAGAACTCAAAAGCACATGCTGCTTGTCCACATGGACTCAGAGGCCGTCACCTGTCCTGTGGAAACCCTCACAACTTCTACGGCAGAATAGTGACAAGGCGGAGTCCGGGGGCTCAGTTCAGCATCCTACACTTGATTCTGGGTCAGGTCATGATCTCAGGGTCGTGGGACAGCACCTTGCAGTGGGCTCTGTACTTGGCGGTGGCAGGGGGAGGGGGGGGAGTCCTGCTGCAGATTCTCTCCTCCCTCACACTTGTGCTCTCTGTCTCTCTAAAATAAGTAAAGTCTTTAAGAAAAAACAAGTGAAAATGCTTTTGACTTGCATATCCATTAGTTCAATCAGATAAGTCTCGAAAAATATTTTGCTTTAGGATTTAATAGGCAAAATTATATTATTAAATGTTCCACAGAATACATGCCTGATGATAACGACATAATAATGAATTTTTACTTCTGAGCTATTTTTTAAAGATTTATATCAAATGCTTTTGTTGAGTAACTGCTCTTACAAGGGCATCCTAATAAAGCTGCTAACCAGGTACAGATCTACTTACGGGGCTCTGCTTTTGTGTTTAACAGGAGTTGAAATTGCTGACTCACCTGTCATGTTGCAGAACACGGCGAAGGGCTGCAGGGGTCCACTGCCATCCGGGTCCACGTAGTATCTCCCCAAGGACTCGCCCCTGTGCTTGTAGGCCTCGCAGGACTGCTCGTAGAGGGCTGGGGAGAACCACCAGTTAGTCACCGGAAATGGGGTGGAAGGAGAGTCCTACATTTCCAAGGAGGAGGTGAGGGAAACCCCACGTTCTGCACCATAGCAAACAGTCACCCCCTGGGAGGAAACGTGACCAAATCTGAAAATGCGGAACGATTGTTGAAAGGCATGTGTGTGATGGGTGATGAAGGAGGAAGAAGAAAAGTGTGCAGCAATCAGACCTGTCCTGCTGGTGAGCCCCTACAGGCAAATACGATTTCCTGGCCCAGTGCAGAATTTGGTGCACCATCCCGTCACCAGGAACCAGACCACGAGTGTCTGCCTGGATTTCACCTGTTGGCAGACGTTACTGGAACACGTGAACCTTTGTTCTTCGTGAATGTGTCCCCACACCTCTCCCCTCCCACCCTGATTAAAAGCAGGGGGTGACTGAGCGAGTCAGATCCCCTCTGGCCGTGTCTCAGAGCGACCTCACCAGCGGGTGACTGGGGACCTGCCAGCATCCCCTCTGCTGGGGAGGACAATGGTGACATCCACTCGGGGGGTCTGGCGGCTCACTTATCACCCGAGGACGGACAGTTACTGGTAAGAGTCGAACTAGAAACATCAGTCCATTGAAGCACAGCCACCGGGCGTCTGCCGTGTCAGGGGATAATGGGGGATGGATGAGAGGAAATAGGGCCGTGGGGGCTCCTCCTCCCGTTGGGCACTGGACTCTGGTTCCAGAACCTTCTCTCCCCTCCCCCATGGGCAACTCAGAGACAGCATGTGAAGGTGGGGTACCTGGAGCCCTTCTTGACCTTTGTTTTCCCCTCACCCCATGTCTTTGTGAGACTGGATCCTGGCCCCACCTACTCCCCGAGGATCAGACCCTGGACTTTCAGTGGGTCACATTCCTAAAACGCAGGCCCCGTTGTGAGAGGAGGGGTGGGGGCGGGGAGAGCACTCACGCTGGCGGCATGTGGCGCCCGTGTAGCCCGTGCCGGAGCAGTTGCAGTGGAAGGCCGTCCAGGTCTGGGAGCATCTGCTGCCATGCTCACAGCGGTTGGGCAAACACCTGGGAGGAGAGGAGGGCTCCGTGGGACCCCTGGTCTTCGGGAGACATGGTCTGCTAGTCGACATGCGGGAACATAGAGGAGTGGACCAAATTGGCCACCCCCAGCCCATGATGACCAAGCGACCAGACCTGGGCTGATGAACCCTGACTCATCGGACTGACACGTGTGCTCCCCTGTCCACTGGAGAAGCCCGCTTCCTGCCACAGTAGCAACACGTGGGTGCTGTGTGTGGCTGGGGACTGAAGTCGCTTGCAGAAGCCAACGGTGACACTGTGTCGTGACAGACTGTGGCCGCACGGAGCATTTTGAGAGAAAGAATGGAAAACAAGGAGAGACTAGGGAGGGGCCAGCCGCTCACAGGGCATCTGTCCCAGCTCACCTACTTCTCCGATTCCTTGTCCACTTGGTACTTGGAACAAAAGATCAAAGCCCACGTGCATTATATTCCCCCAAGAAAAACAAGTAAATCAGAAAATACTCAAGAAAACTCAGCATCATTTACGCACGATGGGTATTTTGCAATCTGCCCAATTAAAATTAGGATGGGACACTTGAAGTTTACTCGCAGGACTTCTGTGAATTTTAACTGATCGTAGTTCATAAAGGGAAGCAGAACTCGTGTGAAACCGTGGGACTCAAACTAACCCCAGGTCATGCGTGTGCTTGTATGTGTACCTAAGCCTATGGCCTGTGATTACACACAATACAGACTTTACAGCAAACTTTTAAAAATGACTCATTAATCTGTAGTGAGAACTCCGTGTTGACTAAATTATGCTTGTACTGGCACTTGGGATCGCTCAGGGAAACCCAGGAACACAGTGACTGTAATTCATTCAGAATGTTGTGTGTGTGTGTTTGGCCAATGCCTGTAGGATGAAGGGGATTCACCAACAGCTGAAGTCAGCAGCACCAGCAGCAAAACGAGCAGCGAACCAGACGCGCGGATGACAGGTGGGACGGCCCTTGTTGTTTCCACCCTAAAGGAAATGCTTCCAGTTTCTGCAAACTTGAGACTAAATTTCCCATCCACGGTAGATATGCCACTTTCTAATTGACCTGCATTTCACAACCTCTTGGCTGAATCCATTTTTCCTATTTTCAGATTGGGAGATTTGGAGAAAATTTTGTGATTTTTACTCTTATGAAAAAAAGGGAGAGGCTCGGCTTGTTCATTCCATCAGGCAATTCCAATGTTGCAGGAATTCACTAAGAGCATGAGAGGCAAATGCCAACGGCAACCTCAGACTGATGAAAATGGCCCAAGATTACAATTATTATTTAGATTCTTTTAAAAGAAAACCAACTGTTTAAACAGAAATAAAACAAGGCCCAGGGAAGGTCTTATAGTGAGAGTCGATAAAATGTTTGGCAGCAAAATCAGGAAAGCTGATGTATAGATTCAAGAGAGTTCTAATCAAATTCTTAGCAGGATTCTTTTTTTTTTTTTTTAAGATTTAATTTATTTATTTGACAGACAGAGATCACAAGTAGGCAGAGAGGCAGGCAGAGAGAGAGGAGGAAGCAGGCTCCCCGCTGAGCAGAGAGCAGAGAGCTCAATGCTGGTCTGACCCCAGGACCCTGGGAACATGACCTGAGCCAAAGGCAGAAGCTTAACCCATTGAGCCACCCAGGTGCCCTTGCTTGTCTGTTTTAATGCCAGTATTGTACTGGCCACAGTCCCCCTTTGCCAGAGAAGGGTCATTCCCCCCACCATGAGTGGAATGAGCACATGGGGAAAGCACGTCTGAGAGAGTGAGTCACTCACTGATGGGGACGTGTGTTGCTGTTATTATTATTATTATTATTATTATTTTAAAGATTATTATTTATTTATTTGACAGACAGAGACCACAAGTAGGCAGAGAGGCAGGCAGAGAGAGAGAGGAGGAAGCAGGCTCCCTGCTGAGCAGAAAGCCCGATGTGGGGCTCGATCCCAGGATCCTGGGATCATGACCCGAGCCGAAGGCAGAGGCTTTAACCCACTGAACCACCCAGGTGCCTCTGCTGTTATTATTTTAAGATTTATCTATTTATTTTAGAGAGGGGGTTTGGGGGCAGAGGGAGAGAGACAATATCCAGCAGGTTCCCCGCTGAGTGAAGTGCCTAACGTGGGGCTCAATCCCTCGATCCTGAGGTCATGACCTGAGCTGAAACCAAGAGTTGGACTGAGCTGCCCAGGCGCCCATGTGTCCTGCAGGTGACGATGACTTTTGTGAAGCTCACACTGAACTCTGATTCTTATACAACAAGGACTGAAACAGGACTAAGCTGAGAAGAGACAGAACAGGTGCATGTGAATTCAGACTGAGTTGCTCATGCAAGGGAAGAAGGGGTTTCTCAGCCTGTAGCGTTTATCCAAAAATATGTTAGCATTTTCAGGACGAAAGCGCCGGCCAGCCTGTCTCCCCAAATCACCCCCGTGTTAGAGCCTGGCTTTCCTGCCTCAGTGGCATTTACCTTCTTCCTCCCTTGCCCACTTCTTGCATTTTCCTTATTTCTCCTCCCCAGACACACCTCTGAGGTCACCCCTGGTCCTCAGGGAGCTGCTTGTCCCTTCCTGGGTCCTAACAACCTGTCCCCGTGGCAGGCCCGTCCTCGCAGCCCCTGTGGACCTGGGGCAGTTTGGCTTTCCCCCCAGACACCCCACCCTGACCACACCAGGATTCTGGTCTCCTGCACCTGATAATCATGATTCCTGCTGTCCAGGAACATGCTATGGACCCTCTCTCTCCGTGGACATCGCCACGATGTCTACACGGCGTGCTCTGGACGAAGAAGCTTGTGAACGCCGGAGAACAGCCGCCAAGAGAAAGCTCCTTTCTCCCAAATCCCACTGTGCCGAGGAAGGGGTTGTACACAGCTACAAACACAGTCTTCTCACTTTGCTGGACTCCCCGTGAGCAGCGAGGGAAAGGGGTATGAAGGGGATACCGGGACCCGGAGGGAGAGGATGCGCACCCACCTGTGGGCGCCTGTGATCAGCCATCACAGGCCGGAGCACAGGGCGTGCAAGCCACTCACCTGTCTCGGATGCCGCAGGAGTCGATGTCCAGGCTGCTGAAGTTCCCCAGCGCCCCCCGCTGCACGGAGATCAGGTCCACCTCCTGGGCGTTAATGGAGATGAGCCTCAGACAGCCCTGGAATCCGGCCAGCGAGGCCTCACACTCGGACCCGGAGCCGGAAGGAAGGCACCCTGATGGCTCAGAGGCGGGAATACAGAGAGGGGCGGGGTCAGCACCGGCCGCAGGGTCGGGGAGGAGGGCAGCTCGTCCCTGTCTCAGGCTTCCGGCATGTGGACCCCCTTGTACTTGTGCTCACTTGGGGGCAGAGACCTCTAGGGTGGCAAGCGTGGGTGACACTGAAGTGGGATTTGGGTGAAAAACAGCGTCTACAATTCAGGCTGAATTTGGAGCTGGGTCTTTCTCACAGCACGCTAGACAGCATTAGCTCCTCCCTGACGTTACGCATCGTAAACAAAACAATTTAAATGTACATGGGTTTAAAATTAGAAATGAAGGTATAGATTGTGTTATTATAAGGACCAATTATTGAAATCGCAGTGTTGGAAAGACGGTATTTGGCCGGAAGGTGACGGGGCACCTGCCAGTCGTCTGGAAGCAGCGTACGGCCCCAGGTGTGGGGCGGACGGCCCACGGGCCTGTTCCAGCTGGCTTGTCCTGAACGCCAGTCTCCGCAGAGTAAGGGACATGGATTGGTTTTCTATGGCAATCAGATTTGTACAGGGTAATTTGGTCAAACATAGAATCAAAGATTAATCTTCTATAAGAACATCTTAGTATCATGAATGTCAGAGTCTGTGTGACAGCAAACACGTCATCCAAACAACGGCCTTGAAGTCTATGCCAGGCGCAAGGAAATAGGCCTCTGGTTCTTTCCACCGGTAGGCCAGCCCCAACCATGCACCTGCTGGGGGCATGCCTGGGGACTCTGCCCTCAAAGTGCCCAGGAGAGACGTCTGTGCCCCCTGCCCGAGTCCCGCCATCGGCGCTGTTCCCCGGGGACCAGTGCCCTGAGCCAGTGAGCCCTCCCAGAGGAGAGCGTGGGCATGGGCTCCCACCCGGTCCCCCAGAGCTGCATGCCATCAGCTGAATGGAACCACACGGGATTCCACTAGGCAGAGGGGACTGGACATCCAGAATCGTCTAGCAGGCATAATGGGACAATTTGGAGTTGTGTGCCAGCAGCCACCCCACAAGGAAGGTTTGGTCTGAGGGAGAAGTAGACGGCAAACCCACTGGTAGAATTCTAACATGGCAAATGGTGCCCTGTCCCGATAGTGGCTGGCTGGGAGCTGCCTCGGGCCAGAAGGACCAGCCTCGCTGATGCTCACCCTTGGGGGCCACCCGAACCCACTGGCCTTTCACAGCCTCGCCAGGGATTCCTGTGACCCAAGAGCACCTGGGACCAGAGGGACAGCAGGGAAAGGAAACTGGGGAGTCTTTCTAGAAGGGGGTGATCAAGACTAAGACTCTCATACATACAGCTGGAAAAGGACCTTCTAATGACAAGGGTCCTAATAACTCTCACATGTTAACATAAACTGTGATTTATGTATGATTTATGATTTATGATTTATGTGATGAGGCATAAATTATGCCTCAGCACGGCTGCAGAGGAAACAGTACAGTCCATCACACCTGCCAAGCTCTCGGGGAATCTGCCACATGTGACACAGTAGAAAAAAGTCATATCAGACACAGGACAGGGGCAAGGGAGGTGGAAATCGGGTGGGTGCCAGCCAGTGGGGTTGCAGCCCTGTCACTCACCTCCAAAGTGATAGGAACCATCTGTGTGGGTCTCTAGAGGCAACACTGTGTGAATCGCCGAAACCCCAACCTGGTCCACCACCACACTCAGCTGGTTCCTCCGGGCTGTGAGGGAGACCGAATGCCACTGCCCGTCATTCAGTCCCGCACCTGGGGAATGGAGATCAGCTAGAGACCCCCATGAACCACTGTCCATCATTCAGTCCAGCACCTGGGGAACGGAGATCAGCTAGAGACCTCCGTGGACCACTGCCCATCATTTAGTGAACACCTGGGGAATGGAGATCAGCTAGAGATCCCCGTGAATCACTGCCTGTCATTCAGTCCAGCACCTAGGGAACGGAGATCAGCGAGAGACCCCCGTGAATCACTGCCTGTCATTCAGTCCAGCACCTGGGAATAGAGTTCAGCTAGAAACCCCCATGAACCACTGCCCATCATTCAGTTCAGCACCTGGGAATAGAGATCAGCTAGGGATCCCCGTGAACCACTGCCCATTATTCAGTCCAGCACCTGGGGAATTGAGATCAGCTAGAGACCCCCGTGAACCACTGCCTATCATTCAGTTCAGCACATGGGAATGGAGGTCAGCTAGAGAACCCCGTGAACCACTGCCCATTATTCAGTCCAGCACCTGGGGAATGGAGATCAGCTAGAGACCCCCGTGAACCACTGCTCATCATTCAGTCCAGCACATGGGTACGGAGATCAGTGAGAGATCCCTGTGAACCACAGATCTCATGGTGCTTCAGAGAGTGACACAAACCTCTGAGTCCCACACGAACAGGGACCCGGGGTTGGGATGGAGGAACCCAGTCCCTCCAGGGCCCCTGCAACCCCTGGAGTGGACACCTTCCTGCCCCCTCCATGTGATTTACCTTTTGGGGGAAAAAATGGAAGAGTACCTGTTCTCTAAATTCTGGAACAGATGCAAGGAAGTCTGATGTTGTTTTTTTGCTACTCATACCCTTCACGTAAGGATCAAAGTCTCTGCGGGAACACATCATAATGGCCAACCCCCACCCCCACCATGGCCAAGCCGTGGGAGGGGATGTCTGTAGTTCCTGCCCGCTCACCATGAAGTCTGCAAATACCCTCTGATATGGGGCCAGAAGCTCCCTGGGTTACAGACCTGTCTGTCTCCAGGCTGCTCGTGTTAAATGGAGTGCCACATGGGGGGCTGTGACCCCGACCACCCCACCCGGCAAGATCAGGGGGCTCCCGTGAAAGGGGTGCTGGGTGGAGGAGGGGCTGAGGGACTTGTCCTGGGTGGTGGTGGGTCTGGTCCCAGGGTCACATGGGGTGTTTCCAACATCATGGGCCTGCCTCTGCTGAGGCTCTGGGGAGGATGGTTGGGGTCGTGACTCTGATTCTCCCCATCAGCTGGGAGCCCCTCGTCCCTAATCCTGGCTGAGTTGGCAGCTGGGCCCCGAGCAGGGGAATTGGTCTCTCGGGGTTACCAGATTTCCAGTTTCTTATTGGAAGCCAGGCATCTGGATTTTGCTTTTAAATCTGTGTGTGTGTTTTCTTTTTCCACTGATTTTTTTAAATGGAAAAGGAAAGTCCATTTGGGTTGTCCAGGGTTCAGCCCAGAGAGTAAACACAGCACGAGCCAGAAAAGACACCTAGCTAAACATTTCAGCAGCCAGTGAAGCTGAGATTCCCCAGGGGCTGTTGTGTGGTCCCACACATTTGACATTCAAAGGGGACAGAGTGAGAGAAGGTTTTGTGGCCTACAGAAGTCTTTCCGACCTCTCGCCGGTGGAACTAGTATTTGTAAACAACTCAAGATGAAAATTTCCACAGTTGGAAAGCATGTTGAAATGTGACCCAATTGTGTTATATTCAAACACATTTTCAAATTGTGACCTAATTCAGCTTCACATCCAGCACAAGTTCACCTTGATCCAGGTGAGGACCTTAAGGGACATTGGACAACCTGATATATCTGGTAACCAAGGGGAAAAGCCACCCTTCCTTAACAGAAAAGTTTGACTTACAATAACTTCTAAATAAATACATCCTCCTCATTAAAGACTGCTGTCCCGGACCCTCCCAGCAGCGCTCGGAAAAGTGCCCGGTTGTCAGTTGCTGCTCGTGGGGACCGCACGCAGGCCTGGGGTTAGTGGGAGAATGGGCCAGGGACGGCTATGGAATGAAGGGGGCGGGGGAACTTCATCCCACCCCGGCTGTCTGCTCTGGGCTCACATTCACAGTCTGTCTTCCGTAGTCATGAATGTAACCATATCCAGTGCGTTGGTGTGCGCTGGTTATTTATCAGGACATAATGCGAGTACCCCGGTTTGGTAGTTTCCTCGCAGGGGTCTGGACCTGGCTGGTGCCTCTGGTTGTGGTTTGGTTTCCCCGTGGTCTGGCAGGTGTTGGCTCAGGTTGGGGTCTGCTCCGAGGGTTCAACAGGGTGGGACCAGAGCCCCACTCTCTGGGGTTGTCTCGGGGTCATCCCCATGGGCTGTTGGCTAAGGGCCTCTGCCCCTTGGGGGTTGTGGGCTGGCTGCCCCATGCTGTCGCCGGCACAGTGGGTCTGCCCTCTGTGGGTGTCAGGGGACCTCCGGGGGCCGAAGTTTTGTCCTGGTCACTTAGGCAAAGCTCCTGGCTGTCCCACATTCTGATCCCTGGGAGCCAAGCCCCGGGCCAGGATGGCCAACAGCAGGGGGCTGCACCTGCAGGGACATGGAGCCCCAGGAGGCAGGGGCCAGCTTCGGGTCACCCCCAGGGGTTGGATGGAAACAGGATTGTAAGAGTTGAATGCCAATTATCACACGCAATCTTCCAGCAATTTGTCAAATCCACCAACTGAGGGGTTAAATGTGACCCGGCTCTTCGTGGGACTTGACCTGAAGCAATTTCTTTGAAAGTCTTAAACTGGGCCAGGATAGAAGCTTCCTCAGGGCACATGGGATCCCTATGGACTATGGGGTCCTGGTGGCTTACAAAAATTAACCTTTTTTCTATGCCAGCGAGTCTCTGAGGCAGCTCACGGCTGAGATACTGAATGTGAGTGATTTCTTTCTCGTGAGCTCACTCTTGCAAGCTTGTCCTGCTATTAGCATTCAGTAAGCTGTAAGTGGCCATCTGTCTCCAGACGATCGGGAAAATGGCAGTTGTGGAGCCCTGACCTTCTCAGAGACGTGGGTCGAAGGCTGTGTGTTGAAGTGTGTGCCCTGGCTTCATATTTACCTTCCCAGGGTCTCTCTGCTTGTTTTCATGTTGCATGGCTCTTGAGGTAGGTTCTAGGATGGACGGAGGGGGCTCAGTCTGCTTTCCTCCCATCAGCAGAGGGTCAGTGGTTAGGAGAAGGCCGATGGGTCCTGGTCCTCCCAGGAGTGTGCTCGTGGACACGGACGTGGCCCTCCAGGGCAGCACCCATGGGGACCTCCTGTGCCAGCCCACTGTGGCCTCATTTCTAACCATGCCAATGGTCCAGTGGCCCTCCAGGTCCACGCTCAGTGCCCAGCAGCCAGTGCCCTAAGTCCTGAGGAAATGTGGTTCATCACAGGCCAGCAGGATCTTCCTGAGAAGGTGTGCAGACCCCCCACTGGTCCCAACCACCAGGCTGGGGGTCCGTCCCCGTCCTGTCCCCACCTCTGCCCGAGGCCCTCAGTGGGCAGACCCAGAAGTAGCTGACTTCCTGATGGGCAGCAGCGAGTGGACAGGCCCCACCTCTCTCCTGTCCTCAGTCCAGGAGCGATCCGCCGTCACACATCATGAAGAACATTGTTTTAGGACACTAGCATTTATCTTGAAAACCTCCTCAAAGTATGTGTCCAACCAGAACGGCTCCTTGCCTGGGGGCAGGAGCAGGTCAGCAGAGAGGGCAGGTGTGTCCCCAGGACGTAGTATTTCCTCTGACTGTGCTATCCTCCAGGGGCCCACCACATTTCCGGACTCACAACTGGGGGTGGCAAGGTTGGCAGGCACCGTCAGGTCTGATAGGCAGGCAGCTGCCTCTCCACCAACACCAAAGGTCAAGAACGGGCTCCCTGTGGCCACGTTTCCTCAGAGAGCAGGAGCACAGGGAGAGGTATCTGGGACGTAAGCCTGGGGTCTGGTCAGCTTGATGGGTAGGGCACAGTGTAGGGTTCCAGGGAATGGAGTGGGGGGCGCTCTCAGGCATCCCCTCTTCCCCAGGTGGCTAGGTTGGGCTGTGACAGCCACTTTGGGGTCTGCCTGTGGTGCCATGTGGTGTGAATGGCAGGGAGACTGTGTCCAAAGGCAATGCGGCACAGGGACCTGGGTGTGAGGACCCCGAGCATGTTACAGACTGCAGGAGTCACATTTGAATCAGAGTGTGAAACGCCCGTGGGCCCTGGGGTGACATAGCCATGCCGGCTACAGCCTGGGGACACAGATTACCTGCCATGACGTCACTCCTCTTGTGTCCTGGAGACGGGGACAGGCCCAGTCTGAGGGCTCCATCCCTGAGTGTGAGGACAAAGGCCGTGGAGCCATGAGAGGGCCGGAGGGACAGCAGGAGCCCTGCCTCGTTCCATGTCCGGAATTGGAAGCTGATGGAGACCCCATCCTGTGCCGGGGTGCCTGGCAGCACCAAGCGGCTCCCAGCGCTCGGAAACGTGACCGGCACGGACTGTGGCTGAGAGCAGGAGAAGGAGGCGTTGCCCTGAGGACAGGAAGCAGATCTGAGGAGGCCCTGGAGGAGGGGGCTGCTTCTCACTCCAGTCCCCCACTGTGGCCCCCAGACCCGTGGCCCCCCAGCTGGAATCGCAGGGCGTGGTGCTGCCGGTGTGACCTCCTGCCCGCCCAATGCCCCAGGCCCAAGAGACACAGACCAGCTGCTCAGCCCAGTGCAGGCGGCCTTGGCCATATGTTGTGCGCCTCTGGGTGAAGCCAGGACAAAGCCCAGAGCCCGTGAAGCCCGTTGCAACAAGATTCACCTCTTGGGAGTGCACACAGCCGACAGAGCTCACAGATGGGTGTTTTGACCGAAGGTGGGAGGCGAGGACCCAAAGCCTGAACACTTGTTCCCATGACCCAGCTACTGGGAGGCTGGTCGGGGCTCAGCCTCGGATGCCAAGACCCCACACGGACCCTCCTTGTCATGTCCCAAGGGCCACGGAAAACATGCCAGCTTATCGATCCATGTATGTATCCAAGCTCCCGCGGCCAACGCTGTGTTCACACTCGAGGTGCAGGCGGGACGGGTTCCCTGTGGGGTGGCCCGTGCTCCCATCGCTCACGGAGGAAACCCCGTTGCCAAGGGGACTGGTCCCTGCAGGCAGCTACCTTTGCTCTCTGGAAAGCTGAGATGGGATCTCCAGCTGACATATGAATGGGAGACGTGGGTCTTCATCTCAGATTTAAACAATAACTCTAAGTTCCGTGAGCTTTGGTCTGTGTTTCTTGCTCAGGTGATGAGGCTGTGACATGAGTCACGTCCCCTTAACCTGATGTCACTCAGGGGCTACATGGGCCCTCATTCCCCCTAGTCCCCCACCCTCTGTCCCCAGGCAGACTCTTACCCTGATGAGAATCTGGGGTCTGTGCTTCTTGGCCAAATCAATGATATCCTCTCCATTAAAATTAATATTTTCTAAACATCCGTCAAAGTGTTTTCTTTGAAATGTCACAGATTTTCCAGGTGCTAAAATCCCACCGAAGCTGATCTTAGAAAGAAAAATGACATCAATAATATTCTCTAGTCATTTCCCATTAACTTGCTTAAGACATTCATCACTCAGAGGCGTAGCAGGAAGAGGCCCAGGTACGCAATTCTGCATAATCGGGTGTTGTGTTCACTATCTTAAAGGAATTTCTAAGCAGAAACTCTGAAATGTTTACTTGCTGTTAGTGTCTGGCAGGCTGGAGCTCCCTCATCTGTGGTCAGGGGAAAGTGTGGTTCAGCATCTCACTGGGACCCTCGGGAGGAAAGGGCTTACCGATATTCGTGATGGGACAGCAGGTACAGGGTGGCCTGGACGTGGGCCCTGGAGCAGAGCACCAGGCCCTCTGCTCACCACCAGCTCTGTACCTTCGAGTGCTGGGGAAGTCTTGTCCCCGCAAGGGGTCTTCTCTAATGCTGGCAGGTGCAGGTGGGCCCTTCAGAGTCCCCACAGGAGCCCCTCCCTGTCCTGTTGCTACCCTCCCTTACAGCTCTTCCCAAGGGCACCTCCCCATGTCCCGGGGAGCCGACCAAGACAGCCATCCCATCTGTAAAGTATGAGCTGAACTGGTCTCCTTGGGGTGCTCATCAAACCGGCTGTCAGGTGAGGGGTCCCACCTGTGTGTCCATGGCAAGGGACATCTGATCCGTGTAACCCAAACCCATGCAAAAGGAAGTCTTTTCATTTCATAGAAATGAAAATGATTTTCCAGCTTATATGTCTCTGGATGGAATTTACATTCATCTGTGTATAGAATATAATGTTATTTTGGCCAATTCGTAGTTTAGGCAATAAAATCATGAATGATGTAAAACAGGACAGGAACTGCCAATTGTCCATTTCTGCCAAACACATTTTTATTTTAGCTTTAGTGTTTAGCTTCTTTTAATAGTGCGTGAGCCTGACAACATCTTACAAAAATGGCATAAATTGTTATACCTTAGTATAATTTAGATACACGTGTGCAAAGGGCTGCGAATACGTTAGGTGTGTTTGGAAGCTGAAGGATGAGACCGAGAGACAGGACTTTGGACCCAGCTGATAGCTCCGGATCTAGGTGGGACGCCAGGGGGATTGCTCAGGTCAGCTCAGTGGGACTGGATGTGCACGATGGGCCATGCTGAGCACAGTGGGCCGTGCTCCAAGTCAGGCTCAGAGGGTGCCCAGGACAGCGGCTCCCTTGCGACACGGTTAAGCCCTGACCACATGTGCCGAGAAAGGGTATTTCTCCGCAGGGTTCCCCCTTCTGTCCAGGCTATGCTGCACTCAAACCCCACGCCCTGTCATGACTGACAGAGACTCCGCACCTCAGAATCCAGGTCTGCGTGACTCAGCTGTCCCTGTGCCTGGAACTGCCTGGAGTGCCGGTCCACGGAGAGGGTCATGTGCTGGCGGGCATGCTCAAGGAGCACCGAGTGCCAGTGCTGGTCATCCAACAGACTGCCCAGCACCACGCTCCCAGGGCCAGATGGCGAGGGTGAAGCAGTGCCTGGCCAGGGAAATGGGCACCGTTAGGTCCTGCCAGGCCAAGCTTCCTTGACCCCGTGAAGCTGCAGCGTCTGACTCTGGGACACCCTGTCCATCGGGGCTGTTCTCGGCCACTTCCCTTCATTACAGGTGTGCGTCCCTCGGAAGTACCGTCTTTGCTGGGAGTTCTGCGATGGCCACCAGGCAGTGGCTATCCCTTGGGAAGCTTCTTCCCCCAGGGGACACAGGCCAGGATGTGGGTGTGAGCTGTGCTACCGTCCTCTGGTGGGTGGAGGGCGGGGGTGCTGGTAAACACCCTCCACTGCACAGGGCAGCCCCCGCAGAGGCTACTTATTTGGTCCGAAATGTCACTGGTGCAAAGTGAGGCTGGGAAGCCCGGGATCCCATGATGTAGGTGTGTTTATCGGATATTAAGAGCTCCAGTGACCACCTCCTGGCACAGTTACTACATTTTAATATGTTTTTAAGCAAAAGAGAGTCAGAATCTGTAAGTCTAGGCCCTTATCTATAATACCTGTTAAAAGATTAGGTATAAAAATACTGGGGTACAAATTATATCTACGAATTCAGATTATTGAGTTCCTTGACTCATCACTTTACCTGAATTGATGATCAGAAGGAGCCTCCCTTTCACTAATTCCAGGGTGAAGGAGACTCCATTTCTGCCCCGTCTGTGCAACAGAAGCCCATCACTCTGCCTTGTTTTAAATTTCAAAGAAATGATGTCTTTCATTGGATTCCTGGTACTTTGGACAAATCTGTAAAGCAGAGAACTTTTTCCATCAAAGTCCATCACGTCTGATCCTGCAGGAAAGATGATAAAAGTTGTTCTAAGTATTAGCTTGCTGCTCACTGAAGTATGTAAATGTGTGGGGCCTTGCACACACACAGAGAGGCACACACAGGTGCACACAGAGAGGCACACACACACAGAGGTGCACACACACAGAAGCATACACAGGTACACACACACAGAGGCATACACAGATGTACACAGGCACACACACACACAGGTGCACACACACAGGTGCACAAACACAGAGGCACACACAGGCACACACAGGTACACACACAGGTGCACACACAGAGGCACACACAGGCACACACACAGGTGCATTCACACACAGGCACACACAGTTGCACACACATAGAGGCACACATACAGGCATGCACACAGGCACACACAGGGGCACACACAGAGGCACACAGAGACTCACACACAGTTGCACACACAAGCACACACAAAAGTACACAGACACAGTATCGGAGGCCGCAGAGGCTTCCATGTCCCATCCGCTGGTGGGAACCGGAACCTCCCAGGGCAGTGGGTCTGCTCTCCGACTCCTGCTCCCTTCGCAGAACTGTCCCTGCCAGAGGTGACTGTGCCAGGGAGGTCCCATCTCACCACGGGGTCCCCGAGGATAGTGAGGCAGATGGTAAGGGGCCGTAGAGAACAAGATGCTCCTTCTTTCCTGAGCCAGATGCCTGTGGCTCTTCTTGGTGGCTGTTGGGGCCAAATGGCACATGTGCTCGTGTGCTCTGTAGAAAGTGTGTCTGTGTTCCACATTCCATGTACACAGAGGAACAGTGGCCGGGTCACCCGAGGGCTGGGTCGTGCTCAGGGAGCCCGTTCACAGAGGGGGAGCAGTTATCCCAGAAAAACCCTCCCAGCAAGGACCCGAGCCCTCGGAATGGGGGCTGTGCAGAGGGTGTGCTCACAGGACGACAGAGGAGACAAGAGGGGCCTGTCTGGAGCAGCGGTAGCCATTGGGGGACCCCGAGGATAATGGCTTGACCTTGCCCCCACCCTCAGACTGCAGCTCCCACGTGTCCAGACCCAGTGGTCCCCGCTGCTCCGTGCACATTGGCGGCTGGTGGGCACATTGAATGGAAGGCCAGTTTCCTCCAGGACAACATGAGACACTTACTCGTTCATGGACCTTATTTCTGGCAAAACCAAGAATACAGCAGACTCTTGAAGAATCTGGGGGCTGGGGGTGCTGATGTCCATGGAGCCGGAAGTCTGGATATAACTTTTAACCACCCTCCAAACTTAACCACTGATAGCTATCGACTAGACCTAACTAGCAATGCATTTTTTATGTTATCTGTGTTGCTCACTGAATCACTACAATGCAGTGAGCTCCAGAAAAGAAGGTGGCATCAAGAAAATCATAAGGAAGAGGTCTTACCCCTACAGCATGCTACCGTATTTACTGGAAAACATCTGTGTGCAGCAAACCCCCACAGCTCAAAGCCTGCTGTCTGGGGTCGCTTCGTGGGGATGTGTGTGTTATTTAAAGGGCACGTCATATGCAAAATAAGCCATTGGAATGACTCTTGCCCATCTTATGAGGATATCTTTTTAAAATTCATGTTTTATTTTCTTACATCTTGTTAATGTACCTAGAAATAATTCATTTACCAAGTGCACAATGAGTAAATATTTCAACCTGTTTTAAAGGTGGGTTATCTCCCCAGTTACTTCTTCTGAGTGAGAAGCATGGACGGAAAGCCAGGTACTGGGCTGACAGTGCACGGCCCTGCCTGTCTCAGGGGCTGCCTGCTCATGCCAGCATTCCAACAGTACTTTGTGCGTCTTCCCCGTCCTTGGGTGAGGGCACAGTCTTCTCTGCCAGCCTTGCACAGGAGCCCACAGACTTCCACCCATGACCCAGGGCCTGCGGACCCCTGCCTGTGACCCAGCACCCATGAACCAGCGCCCATGGATCCCACCCATGGACTCCCACCTGTGACCCAGTGCCCACAGACCCCTTCCTGCCCCTATTGTCTTGGATGCCGCTGGCGGGGTGGCTGCTTGCAGCAGGCATGGCCAGTCCCAGTGCCCACTCTCTGGGTCCTCTCGACCATGCTGCAGCAGACAAGAGACTTTCTGGCTCCAAAGCCTCGGTGTCACAGAAAATAAGGAGGAGGAAACATGTGAGCACACGTGGGCAAAAACACAGGAACATGTGAACACACGTGTACAGACACAAGTACACGCACATGGGAACATGTGTGCACGCGTATACACAAACACAGGAACACATAAGCATGTACACACAGGGGCATGTGAGCACACGTGCACAAACACAGGCACACACGAGGAACATGTGAGAACACATGTACACAGACACAGGAACCCAAGAGTATGTAATAAAGGAACACGTGAGCACACAGGTACACAAACACAGGGACATGTGAGCACAGATGTGCACAAACACAGGTACACAAAGAACATGTGAGCACACGTGCACACAAACAAAGGAACACACATGAAGGTGCACACACAGGAATACGCACACAGGTAGGTACACACAAGAACATGTGAGCACACATTTACACAAACACAGGCACACACATGACTGTGTGCACACTTAGGCAAGCACACCAGGGAACTGATACAGGGCTTAGACATAATTATTTTTGTGGAGGGTCCTGAAGCCAGAAAGCCCTCTCCGGGGTGCTGTGGGGTAGCGTGGTTGAGAACACTCCAAGTCTCCTGGCAGAGTGCCCACCGGCAGCTCGGGGCAGCCAGAGCACTAATCCTGTCCTCTGTAAGGATCTCGATGCTGGTGGTCGCAGGAAAGGGCCCACACGTCCGCTTCCAGATGGGCTGCATGGAGTCTGCATGCTCCCGCTGTTCCTGGTGGTGGCACTCACGCCTGGGGTGGACGGGCCGCTGTCAGGAAGCACAGTGTGCATGCAGTGGCCTCACAGCCTGGCTTCCCCAGACGGTTTGCACCCACGTCAGACACAGAAGTCTTCCTGTGATGTAAGACGTCATCAGCTTTCCTGAGCTCTTGTCAAGGTGGGTCTGTCTCCCTCCCACACTGTTCAGTTTCCTCTTACCGTAGCCTCGGGGCAGCCGGCTCATAGCCGACAGGTGCAGGCCAGTAGGTCTGTTGGTGGCTCATCTCGAAGGACCCTCATTTTCAGAGGCTGCACCAGCTGTGATTAGTTACTGACTGGGGGGCACGGCATGGGCTAGCCCACCTGCCCCCTCAAGCAGTATGTGCTTAACCAGACAACCCTAACCCTGGAGGCCTTGGCCCTTGCTCTATGCTGGTCCAGACGCTGTGTGTGAGGAGCAGACCCTTTCCTGGTGGCCTCGTGGCCTGCCCGCTGCATGCCTGACAGTGCATTTGCTTTTCATCCGTGTATCCTACTGACAGACTAATGAACAGTCACCACAAGGCTCCAGGATGGTGCGGTTGCCATGGGGACAGCACGGGTTGCCATGGGAGCATGTCAGCATGACCCCAGCCTGGCCAGCGTGTGAAAGTTGTGGAGGTGGAGACACGGCGGCTGATCCAGACTCCAGGGGGCATGGCCGTGGAGGGTGGGCGAAGGAAGCCAGGCACCAGCAACACACCTGGGGGTGTTCTGTGCAGAAAGCTACAAATAGGGGATGCTGGCCCACAGAGTAGTGCAGCACTGGGGTGAAGGGTGAGTGCCGGGAAGGAAGGGGACTGAGGGGCTCTTGTAAGACTTAGAATTGTGCACTTAGGTTTTTAATATTTTCCCTCGTGTATGTTACACCTTGAAAAGTATGTGTTCTCAAAGGGTGGAGGTTGAGGGTTGTAGGCGTAGGGTCCGTCTGTGCAAAGGTCCTGTGCTGACTGCAGATATCCTGGTGCTTTCAGAGAACCAAAATAGAGGGATGGTGGCTGCCTGGGGAGTACCCAGTTCCTCTCAGCTGCCTGGGGTGGGTGGGGCTCATGCAGAGAGGCAGGTCAGAGGAAGGGTGGGAAGAATTAGGACTCTACCTAGCTGCAGCCTCTCTGGACCTGGTGCAGGGGGTGGGGGTGGGGAGAGTGTTGGTGAGTCTGCTGGGTTTGACATGGGCAGGCTCCTTCCTCCGCATCTAAGGCTACATCGCACCCATCAAGTGGCCCTCAGGACCGCCGTGGCCAACTTAGTGGAGCGCGGCGGTGGGACTCAAACTGGGGTCAGAGCTGAGGATGACGAGGATTCAGCGTGCACTGGGAAGGAGGGGTCGTGGGGCTGGCAGTGGCTGGGGGTGAGGTGGCCCTGGGTTACCCAGAGGGGGCTCCTGGGCTTCCACTGAGAGAGAGAACCAGGCTAACGTGCGGCACTTGGACGGTTGGAGGGATGGCTCCAGTTCCAGCCAGATGAGGGGTCCCGGGGCCTCGCCCAGAAGGCAGCGATAAGGTGCCGGTGGACGTTGGTGAGTCTTGGAAGGGGCCCTGAGGTGGCCGAGCTGTGGCCTGGAAGTCCATGGGAAACACCCTCCTGACCAGCGTGCAGCCCGAAAGGCCGTCCTCAGCTTGCCCTCGGGCGCTCGGTGCAGCAGGAGTCTGCAGAGTGCATTCAGAGAGAGCCCAGATGTGCAAGAGAGACCATGGCCCATCCAGGAGTGAGGCACGTGGTGGCCGCGGAGGGATGTGTGGGGGGAGGGGTGGGATTCCTCCGGGACCTGCACGCAGAGCCACTGCATGTGAACACGAGGCCGCGCCGGCATCTCCGAGCAGCTTGCTGAGGAGGCCTGCATCTTCCCACAGCAGAGCAGCACGCCTGTGTCGCTCGAGGGCGCTGACACAGAGGCGGCGTGTCCTGCATGTTAGGGGGCACTGGCGGCTTCTCATGTGGTGGAGACAGGTTACCTGCTGGGCTTCATGCAGACCCTCCCAGCCGGGCTGCATGGACTTCAGGGCTGCTGCTGGTCCCACGGGAAGGGCCGTGGCCGCATGTCTGGGAGGGAGGATCCCGGCACAGCCTCATCAGAGCGCATTCCCCAAGGGGAAGAGGCACAAGGCCCAAGACGGCCAGTGTCAGGGTCCTTGCCCAAGGGAGACCTCGTGGTCTGGAAATCCACAGAGTGAGGCCATGGACGGAGCAGGAGGAACGCTGCGGATGAAGTGTTAGCTCAGGGGTCCCTCGGTCCCCCGTGCGGGGCTGGCAGTGCTGGTCCACACAGCACACTGGCCGGACCCTCATTCTGGTGACCCTGGGGCTCCCCAAACACCACATGGCCGCCACCCCCATCCTCAAGCCAATCAGCTGGCCCCCTCCCATCCCCCCACCAGTCCCCTTTGTGCCATCCTGAGCTCTCCTCCTGACGCAGACAGCAGACCCCACCTCACATGGCAAACCCTCCCACAGAACAGTCCTGGCAAGTGTCACATGGTCAGTGAGTGGGGGTGGGCCCTCTTCAGAGTCACTGACAGCCAGGCCCACTCCCTGCCCCCGGGCCTTGGGCTGGTGCCATGACTGTGTGTCTAGAGACAGACAGAGGGACAGAGGGACAGACAGACAAAGACAGAGAGACAGAGGCAGAGGGACAGAGACAGAGGAACAGAGGAAGAGAGACAGAGATAGAGGGTCAGAGGGACAGACAGACAGAGACAAACACACAGTGGGACAGAGACAGAGAGACAGAGAGAGAGAAGGACAGATACAGAGAGACATAGAGACATAGAGACAGAGGGACACAGAGACAGAGAGACAGAGGGACAGAGACAGAGAGAGACAGAGAGATAGAGAGATGAGAGACAGACCTAGAGGGACAGAGAGACAGAAACCGTGACAGAGGGACAGGGAGAGAGACAGAGACAGAGAGACAGAAGGACAGAGGATGAGAGACAGAGACAGAGAGACAGAGGGACAGAGGGATAGAGACAGAGGGATGAGGAAGAGACAGAGACAGAAAAGCAGAGACAGGGAGGCAGAGACAGGGAAGGGAGAGAGAGGCAGACACTCAATAAGAAGATCCTATAAGAACAACCTGACAGGCACCTAGGTGCCTCAGTCGGTTAAGTGTCTGCCTTTGGCTCAGGTCATGATCTCAGGGTCCCAGGATCGAGTCCCACATGGGGCTCCCTGCTCAGTGGGGAGTCTGCTTCTCCCTCTGTCCCCCACCCCCCCGCCACCATTTGAGCAGGCACACTCTCTGCCTTTTGCAATAATAAATAAATAAAATCTTTAAAAACAAACAAAAAAACCTGACAGTTTCATCTTCAAGTTACACAACAATACCAAAGAGAATCCATTGTCCTTGTTGAGGAATTTGAGAAAAGCCTGGAGGCTTTTCTCTTGGAAGAGTCTCTGAATTTGTGCCAAGGACCCCACATCCCCAGACGGACGGGGTTCTGCGCCCTAGTTCTGCGCCCGCACTTACGGAACCGGCATCCGTACACCTCCACGCGCATCCCAATGCGGCCGTTGGGGTTCCAGGCGGAGGGCAGGAAGCGCAGGTGCCTGGCCTCCACGGGCGGCCGCAGCCGGTGGCGCACCACGCTGTCCGCGTTGGTGTTCCCTGGGAAGCCCTGCAAGAGAGCGCGGGCTCAGCGCACATGTGGGGTCCCTTGCTCCTGCAGTAACTACCCTTCCTTCCACCCCCAGACAGACACCGCAGCAGGAGGCTGGGGATCCAGAACCTTCTGCCAGCTGTCCAACAGGGGTGAGGGCTTGCGGTCCCAGAGGAGGACACACCTGCCCTGGCCCGGGTGGCACTCGACCCGTGCACCCAGCACTGGTCTTGGCTGGGGGGCGGCTGTGAACAGAGGCCGAGGGCAAACCTGTGAAGTGCAGACTCTACAGCCGACCTCAGCACGTGTGTGCGCACACATATCTATGTCACACGTGTGAGCATTGTGCACACACGTGTGTGTCCAGGGTGGGTGCTCATGGTCAAGACACTGTTCAGTGACTCATCACTATGGGTGTATGTGAACCAAGGCAAAATGTCACAACTGACTTTCCATTTTACAAGTAGCCATATCAATTACAGTCTAAATTATTCACTTTTAGCTAAATAAGAAAAATCGCTTAGTGAAGAAACTGAAGATTTAAATTCTGCTCGTGGTCATCAAAAAGCAGGAAAATACGTTTTATGGGACTGCCTCAACTGGTATTATCAGTTTTATGGTTTTTACCAACCACTAGAATCATTCTAAGGGGAGCCTTCAACTTCCTGCTTAGGTTTTGTTTAATAATGCAAAATGTAATTCAATTATATAATTATCATATAAAAGATCCATTGAAATAACATTAATTTAACATTAAAATTTCAAGTTAGAGTGTTACTCTTGTGGTCACTGCGCCCATATAACAAGAGTCCAGCCTTGTGGTCACCACGGTCATCTAACGAGAGTCCAGACACGGTCACCATGGTTGTCCTAATGAGAATGCACATTATGGTCACCACGGTCATCCTAATGAGAGTCCAGACTTGAATGGGGCCATTCGGCAGACTCAATCTCCTGCGCGTTTGGACCCTGCACACAGACCTCCCACTCAGCCATCCAAGAATGCTCCACGTCCCACTATTTAAAAACAGTCAAATGTTGGGTGCCTGGGTGGCTCAGTGGGTTAAAGCCTCTGCCTTTGGCTCAGGTCATGATCCCAGGGTACTGGGATCAAGTCCTGTATCAGGCTCTCTGCTCGGCAGGGAGCCTGCTTTCTCTCTCTCTCTCTGCCTGCCTCTCTGCCTACTTGTGATCTCTGTCTGTCAAATAGTAAATAAAATCTTTAAAAAAAATAAATAAAAAATAAAAACAGTCAAATGTCTAGTTTGTCTTTTCTCTGTGGAAATTTAAACTTTCATTTTAGAAAGAGAACCACAATTGCCAAGCCTCTGATGCACTTGCTGGAGCCTTTATCCTGGGAACAGCATCTGTGCCTTGGGTGGAGAGTCCCTGCACTCCCCTGGCCTCCTCAGGGTCAGAGGCTCCTGTGCTGGCCCCAGAGGCTCCACCCTGAGTATCCCCCGATGGCCCGCACCTCCCGGCAAGCCTCACATGCCTACACTGGCAGCGGGGAAGGCTGAGCAGCCCACCTCCCTCCATCTGGAGCCTGAGCCAGAGGCTCCTCTGGAAGGTCCGGACCCTATCCTACAGCCATCCCACAACTACTCTCTCTTTCCCACATGTGCACACATGCGCACACTCACATGTGTGTGCACATGGGGGTGCCTGCATGCACGAACACACGTAACTGTTGTCAAACCATTTGAAAAGCAGTCGTAAGCATCCTAACTCTTTATGCTAAATTTCAGTATGTCTCCTAGAACACAAACCTGCCCAAAACAACCGGAAAACCACTGCTGACACAAATTCCACAGTTCTATCTGGGTTTGCCCATTTTTATATTTCCTCCAATGACACAGGACAGCTTCTACCTGCTGGTGTCGGTTCTTGGCTTGCCCATCGTGGACGAGCATGGTCAAGGGACTTGCAGGGCACGGTCCGGGCTGGGTTTGTCCAGCTGCCACCTGGGACGAGCATCAGCCCACATGTTCTGGGTGAGAATACGAAATGGAGACGCTGCCTCCTTGTACTGTGACCCTCCAAGGTCTCAGTTGTCCACCCCTAATGACATTAATTTTGATCACTTGGTGAGGAGAGTGACTTTTATTTGGGCACTCTGTTCATAAGCTGGTCTGATTCTTGGGGCTCATGTGGCTGATTCTTGGGGCTCATGGGAATGTCCTTTTCAGACAACAGTCTCATATGATGGTCTAAGCCCATCTGTGATCTTTGCCTGAATCGAAAATCACACTACGTTTAGAAATGTTCTGTTTAGAAGGGTGTCTTTTTTTGCCCCCTCTTTCTCTTCTTTTAAGAGGAGGATGGATTAACAGCTCCTATGTAACCCATTAAAATTGTCACCCTTTGCTTGAACTGTGCAAATTTGCACAAGAGAGACAACCTTCACCAACCCTGGGAGCAGCAGCCAGCCCTCCTCCCTGCTCAGCATGAGCTGTCGGCTGAGGAGCCAGGGTCCTTTGGGAACCTGGGTCCTGGATGCCGCCTCACTTGCTTTAATATTTCATGAGAAGCGGCTATCGAGTAGGCTATTTTATAAATCTCCTGATATGTCATAACAAAATAAATATTAAGTGTACTTGCATGCTTTTAAAAATATATTCAGATACTTTGTGATAATGAAAGCGCTGCTTATTTGAATTTTAAGGAATTGCACTTTGTAAGTTATATGGAACTATAGCTGTTTTCTGAACGGTCAGGAAGAACTGTGGCTCTTACCAATAAAGAAGGTGAACGGAATGTGTTTGGAGAAAGCAGGTGATACAGTGTTCAGAACTCATTAGTATGAAGGTTTTAGCTCTTGGGCTAAATTAATGCTTCATAAAAGCAACATGTAGTCTATCTAGTCTACCATATATCCAAACTAGGCTTTGAATCTTCCAAAACGGACCTAACCCTCATGAATATAACAACTATGAATGCAAGGAGAGAGAGAGACCTGTTCTTGCTTTATTCCCTCAAACCGGAAAGTCAGGTTACTGTAATTACAGGAATAGGTTTCTTCTTTGAAAACACATTGCCTTCAGCAAGCCTTCAGAAGTCAGACCCCCATTCAGTGATGCAAATCATGGGTGAGGCAGAATGGCCGGGCACAGTGTTCAGCACTGGGATTTGGAACCACACATCGTGTAGACAGATGCAGGATTTCCAGCGCTCAGCTCCTAGCAGACACGTGGCCGTGGGAGTTGCTCTGAGTCATGGAACTAGGGTATTGTGCCGAGCAAAATAAGTCACTCAGAGAAAGACAGTTATCATATGATCTTACCCATATGTGGTATTTAAGAAACAAAACAGGATCATAGAGGAAGGGAGGGAAAAATAAAACAAAATAAAAGCAGAGAGGGAGATAAACCAGAAGAGACTCTTAATCCTAGGAAACAAGCTGAGGGTTGTTGGAGGGGAGGGGCTGGGGGGACGGGGTACCTAGGGAATGCATTTAGGAGGGCATGGGATGGAATGAGCACTGAGGTTGTCTGCAATGGCTGAATCTCTGAATTCTACCTCTGAAACCAATAATACATTATATGTTCACAATTAAATTAAAAAAATAAAAGCTTCATGACCATTTTTAAACTCAATGTTGAGAAGTGACTTGTTTACTAAATGATCATATTCTGTGACGAGCTAGAGGAGTGATCAACAGGATGCTAGAGCCGCTGTCCTTCAGGGCCTCACCCTGCTGCCTGCCCAGTCAGATGTGTGCGTGTCTTGGCTGTTCCCAGCTTCCACCCGGGAAGCACGCTGGGCAGTGACCCTGGCACAAGGCCAGATCGCAGACTGAAGCCTGAAACTCTCAGTCTCAGGGAATGAGCCAGATGTGGTCCCTGTTGCCTTAAAACAGTCACAGTTCTCTGAGATTCATCAATGTGTGATTGGGGCCCTGAATGCATCCCAACACCCTCCCTGAAAGGCTCACTGGGGACACACTCACCCTCACTTCTATCTGAGCCTGAAACTAGGGTCCAGACGGGGCGAGCACTCTGATTAGCTGCTCCACGCAGATCCCGCGTTCAGCACTTACTTCAGGGGCACAAAGTCTCCTGTGTAAACAATAGTGACGATACAGAGACTCACGCTTACATAGCTTGGAACAAATTCAAGAGGACGTTGTGGCCTGGTTCTCTGCCGGGGAACACCACACACTTACTCACATGAATAGGGTTAGGGGTGTATCCCCTGTTATCAATTTTTTGGACATCAAATGACTTGAGGTTCTGTGCCACTTTCATCACTAATAAATTTGATCTTTGGCAATTAACGGAAAAGTGGCCCCAAACTTCCAACCCATCTGACTTTATATGAAGAACGTGAGCACTCTGAGCTGAATAATGATGAGGTCTTTTCCAGCATTATTCATACACAGATACAGATACAGAGATGATTTGTGGAATGCTATGCAAATTACTTTGCATGCAAGTTTAATTAATAATGCTGTAGAAAAAATTTAATTTGATTAAAAAATACACATAATCTAGTACTTGGTTCCAGTCAGCTTGGGTCCACCATATAAAGTATCCGACCATGGCAATGTCACACTGTCTAATTTTAAATAGTGTTTAAACTCAACAGGAACAGAATAAATGATTGAGCATTTATTTAAGACCTACTGAGTAGCAATCTGAATGGGAAGAAAAAGTAGTAGAGTCACAAGAGTGACACTCAGCCATACAAGGGAAATAACCTCCCTTCTGTCTTCCATACAAGGGAGATAACCTCACCTTGCTGTCGACTGAATGTTGGTCTCCCCAAATTCTTGTGTTGAAACCCTAACCCTACTGTGATGGTGTCTCCTATAGGAGACCCAGAGGCTGATCTGACTTCCCCACGTGGGGAAGAACCAGGCAGAGGCCCTCACCAGACCCAAACCTGCCAGCACCTGCTCTTAGACTTGTGCTTCCAGAACTGTAGGAAGCCCAGGGGGTGTTGGTTACAGCAGTTGGTGGGTGGAAGCAGCCTTTTTCCCTATAGAGTGAGTTCACCTCAAGGCAGAGCCTCAAAAG